TCAGAAGGGGGGATGATTATATCTTCCTTCTTCTCCTCGCCTCAGGAAAGCCCTTGTCCATAATGCCCGTAAAACACTTCTTTAGCAACTTTCCATTTTTCATAATGAGGCTGAAGCGTTATATGGAATCCCATAAATCTAGGATAATTGGATAATTATTCATATTTCTCATCCTGACCACATCTGTTGCTCACCTATCAACACTCCTATACTAAACGTTCTACTCACGACTGAATAAAGCAAGTCATGGCCTGATTGATATATTTTTTATGTTTCTTATTAACATACGGAATACGGAATTCCCTTGAACCAAAGATATTAAATTAGTCACCGATGAAGGTCTCTTTTTGCGCTCCTAACGAGACTGGAATTAGTTTCATGTTGTTTTCAGAGCCCACTAGGCTGCTGAATCTGTGAGTATACTAGATAGTAATTGCATAGTGAAATAGCAATACGTGTTCTCCTATTATTGTGCTGGTAGTGAAAACAACATTATTTTGTGCTAGTGTAGATTATTTATAATTTGTCAAGATGCGGGTAAGTTATTCTAGTGGAAACTTGATTAATTGAAACAAAATTAATTGTTTTGGCGAATGTAAACGTTTACTTTCATTCTATTTGTTTACACATAATATTTTTCACTAGGATTTCACTATCTTCACTTCACTATCTAATTTTAACTACTTGCGTTCAGAAAATTGCTATTAGATATCCTTGAATATATACTTAATATATATATGTATGTACATATATTTACTAGATAAAAGCAATATTGTTATTGGAAAACACAATTTCCAATTATTGTCGTACTGTTCGGTGTTATAACGAATGAGATATACTAGGATAGATACACTTTAAATTTTATTTAAGACTTTTTTAGCGTATCTATCTGTTTTCAACCTCTTCGAAGTGACAGCTATAGGTTGGAGCTCATTGGAAAGATCACAAAATTATTAATTTAATAGTGTAAAAAACTGTAGCTAATGATACATGGAGATTCAATAAAATTGAAATTGGGTTATCCTTATCCCAGCATTTTGGTGGGTAATTATTTCAAAAAAACTCAAAATGGTTAAAATAAAAGCTACCTAAACATTAAAAATTAATCGTAAAAAGTATAGTATGCATGGAATTGTCTGAACTCACGTAATTGTTAATGAAGTCAGCCAATCATAAACAGAGGAAGTAATATAGGTATATAAGCGTAGGTAAGTATATATATTGTATCTTGAGGCCTATTAGACTAATAGCGTTCTAATAGGTTATTTAACAAAGGTTGGTATAGATTCCTACTTAATGAGACAACTTTTCACAATCTGACAAAAAAACCCAAGTCGTATAGCTGCTTATAATATTGGGATATACTTTATATTTAGTATTTGCAGTACCAGCACTGTCATTGTTTTCATTCATAGCAGTCCATACCTACGTCAACAACTATCATCACTGACTTATAGACTAATCTAGACCGCCAGTTCTATGAGGATAAAGGTGAGCCACTCAGGAGATCGAACTGGTGAAACTGTCATGTTTTTTTATGTTCTGGTTCCCACGAAAAGGGATATCCTGTAATGTTCAGAGAACATCGTGAGAACCAAGAGAAATAAGGTAGGAATTGGTGTTCTTAAATTTCTGGAGGTTATATGGCTCGGGGAACACCTCCCTTGGCAATGTGTTCCAGAGCCTCGCTGTTCGTTGGATGACCGAATCTTGGAAAGAGAGGTTCTGCAGGTCTCCAATGTGACCACGAAGGAGTGCGAAGCCTCAACTCGACGGGTTAATCTCGCGGGGACTGCTGAGGGAGGAACAATTGTTTATATTACTGAAGTGCATCGTCCATGAAAATATCTATAAAATAGAGCCAGATCGCCAAATTTTCTACGGTGTTTCAGAGAAGTGAGTGGGTTTGTGAGCGAGGCATCTCCCACGAGATGAATTGCCCTTTTTTGGACAGAATCCAACAGTTTCAGGGTATGTTCTGGTGCTGCACTCCAAATATGGAAACAGTATTCCAGGACAGGTCGGATCTGTTCCTTATAGATCATAAGCAGCTTTTAGCAATTGATCTCACATGATTTTCCCAAGAAAGGTTATTGCTGATAGTGATACCAAGCATCGAAATGGATGTCTTCAAAGGTATGGTTACTCCTGACAAGCTTATATGTTGGGCACAGTGAGATCGGCATTTCTAGAGAAAAGACATGCTTGTGCGTTTTGTTTGCATTGAAATCTACCAAGTTATTGGATCCCCATTCGAGGATTGTTGCCAAGTCCATATATTTATGTTGTCAACATTTCTCCCTCGTTCGTTTCTGATTTGCCTGGCTGGTATTGGACCCCTGAAAGAGAAGGCAGTATGGAGGGTACTATCATCCGCGAAGCTGTGTACTGGACATGAAGTTGCTTCCAACAAATCGTTGATATGGAGTAGAAATAGTGTTGGTGCTAGAATTGATCCTTGCGGAACACCAGCATTCATGATAAGAGATTCAGATGAAACTCCGTCGACCACTACATGGAGAGACCTGTTTGAGAGAAAAGTACACACATGAATCCGAGGAACATAGTCGTATCGAAGAGAAGGTTGGGAGGGGTCTACTATCGAAGGTTGATAAACCATACATGCATTAGTGAGAAACGAATGAAATATGCCGTATTAAGGTCTCATAGCTTCCAAATACTCAGATTTGAGAACGGCAAATTTGTATGTGGTTTCAATGTCCTGGATTTGCCTGGAAGCATCAAGAAGCTGTCTGGCGTAATATGGTCCGAACATAATTATCCTTCCTGAGTGGCTAAGGTGCAATAATGGTCTCCTGATAGCCCCGAACTGCATTCATTTATCTCATTCCTAGGAATGCTAGAATCCTCATTGAATGAGTAAACTTTTAATCCACCCTCGTCAAAATTAGATGAGCAGGTATGGCACCTCACGCCTGAACTCAAATTCTTCACAGCCGAAGGAATACACAAAACATGCATGATTCCATTCGATTTAAATAATAAATACTTGCTCAACTGATGTAAGCAAATTAGAATAATGAATTATTGATTACCCGCACAAACTCGTGGAATTTTTACATAAAAGAACAAAAGCACTTCATATTTCCTAGGATTGGCGAAAATTAAACAAAAAATTAAATATCACCACCCAATGTAGATATTATTTCCACCAGAAGCGTTTTCAGGCGAGCAACCTAACCTGACCCTACATTTTCGGGTTGATGCGATATGAAAACTAGCAGTCTAGATAGAGTAATAAGTCGGTGACTATTATGGAGAGTCCTCGCCAACTTCTCTTGCTGAATTCAAATGAGTCATTATGTAACCGCAACGGTGTAATTAGGAATGACAAGGTTTTATTCTTTGACATACCACAATTGTTTTACCGCATAACCTTCCGAATACAGAATACATCGACTAATAAAACTCTTTGTTTCACAATATTTCAGAATTACTAACCTAAATATCATGATTACCAAGAAGAATTTTTGTATCTACCATTCTTCTACATTCATTGATTTATTGCTTTCCAAATTACGAGGAAATAATTGAACCTTCATCCCAACTTCTGAGTGTCTCCTAGGTATATTGAACACTAGAATGCATCTCAATTCATCTTTCTAGCCTAGTTTAAAATTTCATTCAGTCTACTGAGTGAAGATTGCATGTTATGTTGTTCAATAAATGAGTCACTAGCTAATCGCCTTGCCAGGTGATAATTTTGTGATATTTTGGAACATACCCTAGCTGTTCCCGAATTTCCCAGAACTATAAATACCCATATATACAGGGTGTCCCATAATTAGCGTGCAATACTTCACCAGCAGATTTCACGATCAAAAATAAGAAAAAAGTTCCTACAAACATAGGTCGAATAATGTTTTATAAGCAAGCTACAGCCCCCTATTAAGGTGGTAGTGATGGTACCCTGAAGATTTTTAGTTTATATATCTTCGAAAGTAAGTTGAAGGCAGAATGATGAAGGTTTTAAAGGTAACCAAACTTTTTATGCCTAATAATATGCGATAATAATAATTCGGGGGGTAAAATCATCTCCTCATTCAACTGCGGTTTTTTTTGCAACATTAGCATAAAATTATGAAATTTCAAAGCCTCGAAAATCGATTTGAAAATTACTTTACATGTTGTCATAAGCATTGATGATGAAATTACAAGAACTGAAATTTTGGGCGTAGGCCATGAAACACGACCACTATGTTTGGAAAAATATAATCAAGACAGGTGACAGATTCATGAAATAAGTGACAGAAGGTGTACGCCACTGAAGTGGACACGCGTGAGGAATTCCTGCTGAGAATGAATGAGGCTGAAAATTAAATTGTCAAGCTATAAGTGCCCGACCATGAGTTCAACAAAATGGAAGCCACCTTGAAAAATTACTCAAGTAATGTCGCTCAAAAGAATTCGTATTTTTTAATAAATTGAATAAATTTCCGAACCTTCTGTGTCACTTATTTCATGAATTTGTGACCTGTTTTGGTTATTTGCTCACAACATAGTGGTCGTGTTTCATGGTCTACGTTCAAATTTTCAATTTTTTCAATTTCATTATGAGTTTTTATGACGTGAAGCAATTTTGAAATCGATTTTTCCCCAGAACGGTGCTTCCTATCGAAATTGAACAAGAGGAACATTTTCATGCAAAAGGCTTGGAAGTTTCATAATTTCTTACTCCCACAGTTTGAACCATTTCTGGATGCAATATTGGAATTATTATTATCGGATATTCTCAAACATAAAAAGACAAGTTGACATGCAAAATCAATTAATTCTGCTATCAACAGTTTTGGAGATATAAAATAAAAACCATCTTCAGGTTACCAGGGGCTGTATAGCTCGTTTATGAACCATTATTCGGCTTTTGCTTACATGAACTCTTATTTTTTATCGTAAAATGTGCTGATAAAGTATTGAACGCTTATTATGGGACACCCTGTATATTCCTTCGATACGATAATCCTGATTGTTGGTTCCAGGTCGCAGCTAAGATGATACTCTCCCTCCTCCTCCTCCACATAGCTACCATCCAAGCACTACCCCAAGGTGCCCCAACCACCGTCTGTCAAACGCTGAGGCCCTACCACGGAGGAGGCATCCCCGCCCAAGCCGGCCTACCACCCTACTCCATAGCCCCCAGGTTGCAAGGCGCAGGCGTCCAAGTATCTGTGGGGTCCAACCTCGGGGTGAGGTTCCAAGGGTTCATGCTGCAGGCTAGAACGCAAGCAGGAGAGGTGTTGGGGTCCTTCCAGGTCCCGTCAGGAACGGAGGGACATACGATAGACTGCGCAGAACCTGGGGATACCTTGACGCATAACAGTCCCAGTGATAAAGACCTGCTGTCCGTCATTTGGGTGCCCCCGCAAGGGTACGAAGGACCAGTAGTCTTCAAGTAAGTAACGATGATCGAGTGCCACGTTACTGTTTGTATTGCAATGCAACAAATCTCATCCACACGTGATTGATTGAATGCTTAATTCAAAATGACGAGTCATAGTTTGAGAGCCCAATCAGGGCAGCCATTAGCCTATTGTATTTCTAGATATCTTGGTGGCTAAGGAGAATAGGTTTCATCTGGCTCAATAACCCCTATCAAATTTTTTCCTGTATCTGCCTGCTTCTAGAAGGTCAAATCCCGATATTTGCGTGATCAGATTTGTACTGAAACTCAGAATGTCATTATATAGCCACTGTCTTTAAAGGTGATTCAATCATCAGTTTACTATATCTTCTTCATAAAATCTCGCTTCAGTATGTTTCTCTTGCAACTACTTAGCTAAACAGCCTGGTACCGAGGTTCTTGAAATTTCGAATAGTCTCTCGTCCCAGCATAGCCATCTTCAAAGAGGAAAGCCGCTGTGAGCCCAGTCTAGCAACAATGTCCAAAAGTTCTACCTCCAGGCATTCGCAGAAATACGATATATGTGTTCTGATGGATGTAACAGAGTGATTGTTTCTAGTTTTCAAGAGTGTTATCAATGTGAAATATTGTTAAAAGCCAGTGAAAAGTTTAAGGAATATTCTAGTGATCAAGTTATGAATGGAAGGGTGTTTATGTGTCTGTGAAAGGCTCACCAAAAATTATTTTTGAATTGAGGTTATGTTTTATGTTGTCTTATTTCAAGAAGTAACGTAAGTAATTTCAACCTTTCTCATAAGAAGATGCCAAATAATTGCTGTGTGACAAGGTGTAAATCGATACCTCGTTAAAATTGGTTCCCATCTCAACCTTCCGCAGTGTGTGCAATTAATTTCGTTGAAACAGATATTATAGATATGAAATATTTCTTCTTCCAGATAGATCAATTGGAAAAAAAATTCTAAGAAAGCCACACATAGTTAGTGGAAACAGCAGTTCCCTCTATTTTTCGAAATTTACCAAGTTATCTTTCTAAACCTCAATAATGACAAATCCTTATGAGGCGTCAGAAATGTTTAGCTGTTCAAAATAAAAAAAATAGTTGATTTTGAAAAATCGGTTATTCTCATTTACAACCAGGTAGTTGGAGAATATGCAGAAAATATGAAAATTGATAGTTGTTGGTATGAGACAGAAAGTGACATTTATTTTCATCAATCAGTTCACCTGTCAGATGTACTGGAAATAACTTCCCAAATTGTAGTATTCAATGAGATGCAGGTCCAAATTTCGATAATAAGTTGGGATTCGATGATTTGGCTTGTTATAGAGCCAGCTGTGGTCCCAGGAATTCCATTTCCGAACCATGTCTTGCTAAGGCGTCCGCGGTTTTATTTCTCACAATGACTTCTTGTCATGAAATCCAGAGTGTACCTTAGTGTCACCTCATTCTGTTTCGCCAGGGTTTGCAGGCTCAATAAGCAGTCCCAGATAAATCTTAATCTGATCTTGAAACATTCTAGTGATTTGATAGCTGCCTGATAACTATCAGAGCAGATGAGGAATTGTACACCTCTGTATCCTTTCGCGATATTATCTTCTCCACACAACAATGTTAACGTGGTGGCTCTCAAACATTGTTATAGAGATCCTTTAAGAGTGAAGTCAAAGTATCAGTGTTACTCACAGCTTCAGTGTATGGTTGGCAAGGCTTGAATGTAACCAAGTGAAGTAATTATAATTAAAATCTTCATTTTTACTCTAGCTCTACTGTGGCTCAGAACTACAACACATTCTGGGTAGGAATAGAATCTCCAACAATCCAGATATCCAAGCGAGATACAGCTCAGAATGGCTTCGCTCGAGACCCCTTTTACCGAGGATGTCGAACCAACAAGTACTGTTTTGGTGCTCCAGCAGGCTGTATAGACTCGGAGAACTGTCAGGCAGCAGTTGCAGTATCCGTGAACGATGGAAACTTTGACTTCGAAATGAAGGCCAGCTCGGAAGCTGTATGGGTCGGAGCCGGTTTGTCCAACGATAACAAAATGGGAGATGATTCGGTCATCGAATGTGTAAGGTCAAACGACGGAAGAGGGGTAGACGCATTCATGTCCTGGACTTCTAGAGCACCTTTTGCAGCAACGAGATTGAGCAATGTAAGTGGATGTACCCTTCAAAAAGACCATTGTCTCGCGTGGTGAAGTTAGACCCATTGTCAGGAGATTAATTAGGGAGTTATAAAGTGCCTTAAAGTATCTTCAAAATGTTGCTCTTAGAGTTGAGGTATATGTGGTGTAACATATTCCATTTTATTACAGCCTCGCCTGGGAATTCAGTTGCTGAATGCCACCGTATCTGAAGATGGAATGTATTGTAAAGTAAGAAGAAATACCGTTACAGTAGTCAATGGAGTTACCTTCGACTTGAATAGGAACGCTTTCTACGTATTAATAGGAGCTGGATCTGAACTCAAAGGAGGTAAATCACATCTCTAGGCTGCAATTGGAGTCATATGAACTTGTCACTCTCTCCCAAACTGTTAATATATTTTGAGAGGAAAACAATTAAGATCAGATTCAACTGATGAGGTTCTAGCCATCTCAATTCATGACGAATCGACCATCAAAAATGTTGTCTATACTTTACACCAACATTATACGCTGTCTTGAATGATTTTGATCACTCATTGTTCTTTCAAATAGGCATGATAGTTCTCCACAACTGATTTCGGATTTTTTTCAGTTAATTCCGTCGGCTTCCACAACCTAGCTTTCTTAGTGAGTCCCCAACCAGAATCTTTGTCCGGAAACCCGTCGGCAGTACTTCCGAACAGGCCAGACATGACCACTCCCCCATACTACGTTCCAGAAGTTCATACCGAAGCTTCTTCAAACTCCGATCCCTTCTATGAGGGTTGTGGAGTGAACAAACTCTGTTTCGGCGCACCTACAGATTGTGTCAAGACCAGGAACTGTAAAGCAGTCACTGCGGTTATAGTCAACGGCGACACGTATGACTTTGAGCTCAAAGCCAATGGGAATGCAGCTTGGGTAGGCGTCGGATTGTCTGATGATGACAAGATGGGGCAAGACTCTGTGATTGAATGCGTTAAATCAGGAAGTCGCATTGTGCCTTATATGTCATGGACTACTGCGAAACCTTACACTGCTCAGAGGTTATCGAATGTAAATACCTAAACAATTAACTTTATTGGGCATTGTTAATGTTTTTTATTCATTTATAGCCTCGCCTTGGTATAGAACTGATTAATGCTAGTATTGTGGATGATAGCATCTACTGCAAAGTTAGAAGGAACGCTATGACTACTGTTAATGGAGTGACATTCGACCTCATATCTAATGAATATAATTTGCTGGTGGCTTCTGGATCTACAGTCGAAGGTAGGTAATACAGAAGTTATGTTAACATTCCTGAATCTCTTCGAGTCTTCCAATGATCATTCCTTTTTCAGATAACTCTGTTGGATTCCACAACTTGGTATTCTTGGCAAGTGCAAGAGCACAAGCTCTCTCAGACATATCTGAACTGGAAGCTGCTTCCAAACTACTAATACGTCTCCATGGTTCCTTCATGTTAGCTGCATGGATAGGAACAGCTTCCCTTGGTATGTTGCTGGCAAGGTACTACCGTCAAACTTGGGTGGGAAGCACGATGATGGGCAAAGATCTGTGGTTTGCCGTACGTATACTTACATTTTTCCCTACAGATTTGTTCAGATGTTCTGAGTGGATTATTTTTAGTGGCATAGAACATTGATGGTTCTCACTTGGTGCTTCACGATGGTTGCTTTCGTGTTGATTTTCGTCGAACTAAAAGCCTGGTCAGCAGAAAATAACCCTCACGCCATTCTGGGCACTGTAACTACGATTCTGTGTTTCTTCCAACCCATCGGGGCTTACTTCAGGCCACATCCTGGTACATCGAAACGATCTCTCTTTAATTGGGCACATTGGCTTATCGGAAATGCTGCCCACATAATAGCAAGTAAGGATCTCGCCTCAAAAAGGCGTGCAAAACATTAACTCTCATTTTTTTCAGTTGTGACCCTCTTCTTTGCTGTGAAGTTGACTAAGGCAGAGCTACCTGTATTTGTGGATTATATTTTGGTAGTATATGTAGTAGTTCATGTCATTTCGCATCTGGCACTCTCGGTAAGTTGATTCATCAGTTTCGGAATGAATAAATTCCAATGACTTCAAATTATGCAAAATTCAAAGTTTTAAATGAATTCTTATTTATTTTATCTGTATGTTTTGACAGCTGATGAACTGCCTTTCTGAGAAATCCCTCGAGAGTAAGATAACCTCTTTTCCCATGAAGGACATGTCAGGGTCAGGGAGAGGTTCTGCTTATGGAGAGCGTAGTATGGATGCACCGGTAAAAAAATACACATTCATAAACTTTTTCAATGTATTAACGTCGTTTTTTTGCAGTTTGCTACGGGGAGGAAGCTAGTGCTGGGACTATACATTGTGATAATCGTGTTGCTGACTGTGGCCCTTATTGTCGTGACAGCGTTGGCGCCAATAGAATCAACTTTGAATTCTATTATACCGGCATCTATGAAATCGAATTGAAAACAACGAAATGGGTAACGAAAAATATTGGGGAGATGGCGAAGATTAGTGATGAATGTAATATCAAGTTACCAGCCAAACTCGTATTTTTTTAGTATTGTTTATTTACATCAGGTGAGATGAACTTTTGCGGTCGAATGGGACTCGAAACAATATTTATTTAATCTCTTAAAATGAATTATTTTTGTCCCTATTCATCAATCTTGAGATGAACCATCAAGTATTATTATCAACCAAACAAACCGAAAGTTGTGTTCTGGTATCTGTCCGCCTTTCTATGTATTAATATTTTTCCATCGAAACGTGCCTGCCTTATTTTACAATGAATTGAAAGTACCTTTTTGTGTATCAATGGTGATTTTTCTGACTGTAGCAATCGTTTTTAATTTTATAATACTTTATATAACAAACCGTTTATTCATGAATGGTGACATATTGTTTTTAATAAATGTTTAGAAAATAGAGAGTTTGTTTCAGTCATTTAGATTCGGGACCTACCATGAATTCGTGATGATTATTCCGAACTGTTCATATCTATCAATCAGAACATAAGCAAATAATAGACATGAGAAATTTGCTTTCGTCCGCTCCAAGAGATAAGAAAAACAGAAAGCTATGGTAAGTTCATGTTCGACTTTGTTAGATAAGGGATATACAATTCATTAGATCTGCAAGGAACAATATGGTTTTTTTCATCTCTTGGAGCGCCCTAAAGGAATTTTGCTATGATTGTTGGAGAACATCGTGCGTACGTAGGAAAAGGAAGTAGGTGTTGGATTTTTTTGAACTTTTGGAGGTTATAAGTTCTTGGGAATACATTCATTGGTATCAGAATTCCAAAGCTTTGCCGTTATGGGCCATAGTCCAAATTATCTAAATTTTTGTACAACATATTATTTTTACTGTTTTTTTTCAATCATGAAAATGAATAATCCTTGGATATCAACTGCAACACTTCATTATTTGTCGGCATTTCAACAAAATAGAGAAAGCAGTTCCTACAATCAATGGAATAAGTTCATTGTCTTTCATGCCATGATATATGATAACTTTGAATCAGGATAGCTTTCCTCATAACGTCTCAGACCTCAGAGGTTTCAGGTTTTCGCACTGAAAGATAATCCAATCTGACAGTTGTTTCTTCATAACGATGATACCAGTGAACGCTGTATTTTTATTCAGCTTCAGAATATCAGTCCAAGCCAGAGTGAGAGAGATATGGAGAATGTTTGTCCATAGACCCTTCTGCAATGTCTATTATTTCCCATGCAAATCAGTAACAATAACTACTGATGTTTACCCAGATGTTCCTTCTTTATTATAACATCTCTTCAAGGATCTGTCGAAACCATTTTTTCAAGTCCCTTTTCCTGAACAATGTCGGATACATGAGATGAAATCGGAGACCCAGAGATGGCAATACATTTATCTCCATCCAGCCAACGACGAATTGGACACCATAATAAGCTATCATCTTATACATACATATTGAGCTTGCCCACCAGATTTTCATCTTGTAACCCACCATACATATTTGATGATCCCTAAAACAACATCTCGCCGGCCAGCTCCAAATTCGAATCTCATATATAATTCACGATACCTAGATGGCGTGATCGACTCCATCCTGCGAGCTCCCCGAACCTATTTCGCACGTTAGCCGAGGGAGTCGCTGCGATCGATATTCGATCGCACCCCCACAACCGTTATTGAACGCGGCCTACTAGGTATAGTATTTCACCCTCCTGACTCCGTGCTGTGGGTTGATTGAGATGCGTCGATATAGCGAAGCTGAGTGAGTCGCGTTTGGTAGCCATCCCAGTTGGGACGATCAACAGTTGCGGATTTCGCGAAGACTATGCGGTGGTGGAGTGTTTGAGCGGTGTCTGGGGTACCGCAGGGTGTCGATGCAGACCCGCCGTTGACATGGACGCCAAGTGGACGTGGGGCGCCCGCGTGGGGCTCCTCTGGCTCGCGGTGGTCGCTTGCTGGGGTCACGACACGGAGGCGGATAAGGCTCAGTTCGAGGCAGCTTTTCAAGGTACGAGAGGCTAAGTATTCAGCAAGTAAACAACGGTGGATAAGCTGTTAGTTTGTTGGTCCTACACTGAGGAAAATTCGTATTAACCATGGTCAGAAAACGAATTACCCCAGCAAGAAACTCTAATAGCATTGGGGACAAGCGATCGAGTTATCATTTGTGATTATGAAGTCGACTTTGCTGATTATAACCCACCTGCGATTATTAGAAATAGAACCTTGCTGCCACTAGCGAGTGCATCTGTATTTTGCTATTAGACGATGTTTCTGTAGTAGGTATCTGACTTTGCTACCGCTAGTGAGTGCATCTAATAATGGGAGTAGGGCAATTTTATAATAATCGTAGGTAGGGAACTTTGCTACTCTTGATGGGTGATCATATAGATAGTTGCATGACCTTCTTTCTGTAGTTATTCAGTTATTTTCCAGGATTGTTGTCATCAAGATAGGTGAGAAAGTTTAGTTTTTGTACCAAATTGCATCTTTTTATCACATGGGGTTTCGGAAATACTCAAGAAATATCATCTTCAGGAGCCTCCTTTCAGGGATCCGTAGCTCCCTTAGGGGACATCTCTCGACTCATGTTCATTGAGAGTTTTCTTTCTATTTTTGGTCGTAAAAGCCGCTGGTGAAGTTTGGCAGGCTAATTTCGGGACACCCTATATATATAAAGAAATACATTGAGAATTCGCATTCTCCAAGTGATGAAAATATAAAATATAAACCTCTCGGTTTATTCAACAGAAAACAACTACTTTCCTGGCTACATGCCACGACGAACATTGAATTATATTTATTGAACACAATATATAAGAATTTGACTGAGAATGAGAATTTGCATTCTACTTCAGATAAAAATATGTATATGCACATAATATCATTCTGAATATTCGACATCCACGAGGAGATCATGAAAAATAAATGTCCTCTGAAATTGAGAACTGACAATCTCTCAATTCCGATGAATAAAAGGAAGTATTTTGATATAAAAATATACCTTACCAATATGTTCATAATTGAAATGAAAATTGAACTCTATATAGAACTTATGATCTTGATGAGCTTGGAACTTCCAAAAAAAACATTCGTATCAGTGATATGGGAATTATATCTCTCACAAACAATAATAACTGACTTTATTCGAATCAACTCATTTCGGATTTCAAACCCTCCTCATGCATTAACCTGAAAATAGTTGTTTTCTGTTGAACAAACCGAGGAAGATTTGATATTTCCATCACATGCAGAATGCCAATTCTCAATGTATTTCTTTATATGTATGTCCATTCTTAATGTCAATAATTTATCTGAGAATATTCCTTTTCAATACTTCCACCCAATCAAGGGGTTCAAACTTCAACGATGGAAACTTGTTATTTTTACTGACCTTCAATCGCAGATTCGTTGTCTTCTCAAGTCAGAATTTCTTTCCACGTCCTTTTTTAAGGCATGTTCTGTGTTGTATATACAAGTTTTGGATGTACCCCAGTTTCATATCCCAGCGATGTTGTAAAGCATTTTGTCTCACCGTTTGGTTGCTCAAAGAATTACTTGTTTTTCGAAATCCACAGTATACGTGGCACTATTTCTGATCAGCATCGCACCCTCCTAATTTGTTATGAGCGGGTGTTCCTCAACTGACGCATGATTATTAGCCATAAGCCCTGATGTAACTTCTGTTTGTTCTTCGGTTTGTTCCTAATAAGTATTTGATGCTAGGGATTGGCCAACAATTGTTTCTTTTGTCAAAACATTATAAGTTTCTTATCGACAAATATCTCGATAAATATCTAGATAGCTCATGTGAAATGTTTACAATATATTTCAACTAATCATCAAGTTACTCAGGTGGTGAATCACTTGACCAGTCAAGCCTAATTGATGCATCCAACACCACTTTGCAATACTGTCACTCTGAATATTTTGATTTTCATGTTTCAAAATAAGTCTGCGACTTTATACATATTTTGCACGTACCTGCAGTGTCGCTATATATCGACTTTTGATAACATCGCCATCTTTTTTCACGTGCTACAATTATGTTTCGTTGCCCTATTGCCTTTTTCAGAAATAACTTTCGTGGTCGTTCTCAAACTAGCAATTTACTGCAGGGGCCTCGCTATATCACGGCATTTTCTCCACGCAAATTGGCCATTAATTTTCCGAACAGATAAAAATACCTCCAAGGATTCGAGCAGGCTTAACTTCAACGTTTTGTTATTTGTGATGGTTCCTTATACCTTCAATGCCATCAATATTGTTTTATGGTCACGATTTATCACAGAATTGAAGTTATAGGATGATATTGACTCTCCGGTTCAGAGGACTTTCATCACACAGCCATTCACTGAATTGGCCTCCTCTACCCTGGATCATATTTCATACCTATATACTATTCATACAGGTTGTTCTATTTCCACAGACATTAAACTGTCAAAACACAATGGTTATTTATTCCTCTTATGTTTATTCTATCGATTTGCGCCGAATGTCCACACATAAAAAATCAATTGTTCAAAATCCACCCATTTGACTTACAACTGTGCAGCTATTTCTCGATCATGGCAAATTCCAAATCGCCAACTGTGATCGCCGGCTACGTGATCGTTTATCCTAATGGAAATGGTCACCTTTCAAGGCACTCAGAACCTTTTACTACTTTCAGCTCGGCCTTCCTTTCCTTTGAACATGCCAATCTCCTTTGTCGATTTTCTATTCGAGACCAATTGACCGGATGAGGAATAACTGAATACCAAATGTCCCGGAAAAAAATCAGGCACGATCATTTGACATCTGACAATCATAGGAGAATGTATTGAACTACAGGTATACATGCGTAGCCAGGAAGCAGTAGGGATTTGTTATATTTACATATAGTCGCATATAGATGAACGAATTCGAAATATTAAACAGAAAAGAATTCATCGACCATCGCTCAAATGTTGAAAATGTGCCAAGCAAAACAAAACGAACCGACAGTGGGATGTTAAATGGATAAAAAACGTAAATCCGTGACAATCAACGAGTAATTTCATGTTCACTAATTGTTATGTTGGCAGTTCCTACGGATATCGAATAAATTATAAATGCTCGATGTGGATATTGGACGAATCCGTTTTACAGGGACCACAGTTTTCAATTTGTTGTTGAAACACTGAAATCAATTGAAACGACCATTATAATTCTCGTAAAATGGCCTTGACAAATATTTCAGAATAGCATTATAGGGTGATTCAAAAGTAAGCGGCATCCTTTCAGAGGCGTATTCCTTGCATGAAAATAAGGCAAAAAGTTCCTATTGATAAGGATCCGAAAATGCTTCCTAAGGGAGCTACGGCCCTTTGAATAGGACACCTCAAAGACGGTTTTTTCTCTATAACTTTAAAATCCTTCACAACAAATTTTTAAAAATTGGTGTACGGCATAAACATTCGATGGTAAATAGGACTCCGTATTCGAAATAATTTCCAAACGAAATCACAGTAACCTGAATATCCGGAGAAGAAGGGATATTTTTACACTTACCCTCTCCCGCATGTGACGCCCCTGAATGAAATTCTGAAATTTCGAATACGGAGTCCTATTTACCATCGAATGTTTATGCCGTACACCAATTTTTAAAAATTTGTTGTGAAGGATTTTAAAGTTATAGAGAAAAAACCGTCTTTGAGGTGTCCTATTCAAAGGGCCGTAGCTCCCTTAGGAAGCATTTTCGGATCCTTATCAATAGGAACTTTTTGCCTTATTTTCAAGCAAGGAATACGCCTCTGAAAGGATGCCGCTTACTTTTGAATCACCCTGTATACTAACCTCAATAAAACATGGACGAGACACATGCTATTGATTTAATTGAAGAATGCTTTCCTTAGGAGAAAAAATGTCTAATTTCATTAGATAATTTGTTCCAACCCAAGTTAACCCAGCAGGAATGTATTACCTATATATACAGTGTGTCCACCTTAAGGACTCACCACCCCTGTAAAATCGTTAATATCCGACCAATTTCAAAAAAACTTTTTTTGTTGGATAGGTATTTGAAATGCCCATCCAACGAGAGAGTGATCTAATTCTTGGACTGTTATCGTGGCCAACTGCGACAAATTTCAATGACCCATATTCCAGAAAGTACTATTAGGGATTTTTTTCCACGAAACTTGATGATGGATTCTGAATCAGTACCACTTGAAATATACCTGTACCGATTTTCATCATCATAAAACACAGGGTGTCCGAAAAAACGAATCATCATTTTCTTCAAATAGGTGATCAGCAAATGTAGTTCTGTGGTTTTTCTAGAAAGAAATAATCACAAATTATCATTGGGGATTACTTCAAATATACCTGTATCAATTTTCGTCATTTGAATATACAATGTGTCTGAGAAAAAAATTAAAAAGGATAGGTAAGCAACATTTTTCATCCTGATAATTCTTCACTCGAAATAAAAAGATGAATCAGGATCACTTGGAACATACCTGTACCGATTTTCATCATCATCAAACACAAGGTGTTCGAAAAATCTAATCATTAATTTTTTTGAATTGATGAAAAAATATTACCTACTTTTTCTTTTTAATTGTTTTCTCATACACATCGTATTTCTGAATGATGAAAATCGGTACAGATATGTGCAAAGTGATCCTCAATAATAATGTGTCATCAATTCTTCTCAAAAATACCACAATACTACATTTTCTGATCACCTATTAAAAAAAAAACATAATTCGTTTTTTCGGACACCCTGTGTTTTATGATGATGAAAATCAGTAAAGGTGTTTTTCAAGTGATTGTGATTCAGAATCCATCATTGATTTTTTTGAAAAAAAATCCCTAATAGTACTTTCCCAAATATGGGTCAATAAAGTTGGTTGCAGTTGGCCACGATTACAGTTCATGAGTAAAATCACTCTCTTGTTGGAGGGACATTTCGAATACCTATCCAACAAAAAAAAGTTTTTTGAAATCGTTCAGATAATAACAATTTTACAGGGGTGGTAAGTC